GCCCCAAAGTTTGAGAGTGCTGTGAGCTATGAGGCCACAGCACTCTAACCAGGGCAAGAGAATGAGACTGTCACCCAAAAAAAAAAAAAAAAAAAAGATTGTATAAAGGAATGAAAAGCTATTATGACACACTAAATTTTAATGATCTTTTTTTTGTTTTTGAACAGAGTCTCACTCTAGTGCTCTGACTAGAGTGCCATGGCATTTCAGCTCACAGCAACTTCAAGTTCTTGGGCTCAAGTGATACTTTTGCCCAAGAACTTTTCTACTTTTAGTTCGCTATTGCTCAGGCTGGTCTCAAACTCCTGAGCTCAAGCAATCCACCTGTCTCGGCCTCCTAGCGTGTTAGGATTACAGGTGTTAGCCACTGTGCCCAGCCATAATATTCCTTTATAAGAGTAACTCTTATACTTACAAACTAGTAATAGCCCCATTTCTTGATTTGCTACATTTGTTGAGATTCTATTATGCCCCAGTACTATGACTATGATTGGTAATAGAGTTAAAATGAGTAAAATGTATTCCTTGCACCAAAAAGTTTACAGTTTGGTAAAAAAATAATTATAACATAGATAAATGTTATTATAGAAAAATATAATAAAAGGTACCATTTAGAAGAACCAAGGCTAGAATAACTAAAGAGAAACCAAAGATAGACCTAAGAAAAATTTTATATATAAAAATCATGCAGTAATACACAGCAACACTAGAAACAATACTAACAAAGGTAAGAAAACAGAGCAATTTAACGTGATATAAAACTTATGAATAAAAAAACTAACCTTATGAGTTAAAGAATCAAGTCTGTGATAACATTCTGACATTTCATCAGCATATGACAAGTCAGGACTGACATCTTTTTTCTCTGTAATATCATATTTCACCTAAGACACGGTAGAGAGAAATTATTTATTATTCAGTTGTAAAAATAACCTTTAATGAAAAATTAGGTTGATTCATCATTTTATGACTTTGTTCTATGTTATATTCTTTTTGTTTGTAGTGAACCACACAGTGAAACTCAGACACTTATATACTAAGAGCTTAAATTAATTTGCTATTTGACGGGCTTTACATTCAAATTCAATGTGGGTTTCAAACTTAGATTATGAGTGTCACAAAAATACTCTGCTTAACTGCTAATCATGGATACAAGACTCACAGATCTGTGTAAGTCAATAACAACAAAAGTCTAGTTATAAGATTATAACTATTGATAAGATTGATAGGTTTTCACATACATATACACATCTTTTTTAATACCTGAGATTTTCTCATTGTTCCTGAAGCAGCATCATAGTTAAGCATGTCTGTGGGGTCAATCCAGTCATCATCATGAGCATAGCCAGTTACTAGCAACAGACATTGACAAAGGAACAAAGAACACAGCATCCTGTATAAGGATAAAAAATGTTTAATACATATAACGAAATTTAATGTTTCTGTAATAAAAATATACCTACTTCCTTTTTGTGTTAGGAAAATATCTGAATAGTAAATAATAAAAAATAGTAAAAAATGGTATTCACATATTAAAACATACAGGGATATACAAGGCTGGGTGCGGTGGCTCACGCCTGTAACCCTAGCAACTCTGGGAGGACGAGGCAAGTGGATTGCTTGAGCTCATGAATTGGAGACCAGCCGGAGCAAAAGTAAGACCCCATCTCTACTAAAAATAGAAAAACTGAGGCCAGAGGATCACTTCAGCCCAAGAGTTGGAGGTTGCTATGGCTCATACCTATAATCCTAGCTGTGATTACAGCTATGAAAGGATTGGTTGAGATAAGGAGTTCAAAATCAGCTGGAATAAGAGCAAGACCCCATCTCTACTAAACACAGAAAAAATCAGCTAGGTGTCATGGTGTGTGCCTATAGTCCCAGGTACTCAGGAGGCTGACCAAGGAGGATAGCTTGGGCCCAAGAGACAGACAGAGAGAAAGAGAAAGAGAAAGAGAAAGAAAGAAAGAAAGAAAAGAAAGAAAAGAAAGAAAGAAAACCAGCCAGGCACGGTGGCTCCCGCCTATAATCCTAACACTCTGGGAGGGCGAGGCAGGTAGATTGCTTGAGTTCAGAAGTTCAAGACCAGTCAGAGCAAGAGTGAGACCCCATCACTACTAAAAATAAGAAAACAAGCAGGCATTGTGGCGAGCACCTGTAGTCCTAGCTACTTGGCAGACTGAGGCAAGAGGATCGCTCAAGCCCAAGAGTTTGAGGTCACTAATGAGCTACAATGATACTACAGCACTATATCCAGGGTGATGGAGACTCTGCTTTAAAAAAGGGAAAATATATGTCCACACAAAAACTGAATGTTTATAGCAACATTTTTCATAACACCCAAAAGGCAGAAAAGACCAAAATTTCCATCAATTAATGAATGGATAAATAAAATGCAGTATAGTGACATCATGGAATATTATTCAGCCACAAGAAGGTAGTAGTAATACCATGCCACAACATGGGTAAACCTTGAAAACAATATGCCACAGGAGAGAAATCAGTCACCAAAAAGCACACAGTATATGAGTCCATTTATACGAAACGTCCAGAACAGGAAAATCTATAGAGATAGAAAGTAGATCAGTGGGTGGTTAAGAATAAATCTGTGAAATTGTAAAGACGGAAAAAGAAGTCCATGCTAGTTTTGCTGTCACACCTCAAACTGCAAAAGTTCCAGCCACATGGCACAACTTTTATTTCAGCACGTTGTTATAATTGTCCTTTTTTATTAGTAGTTATACACTACAAACAGTAAACAGCAGTAAGTTAAACTTTATCACTGCTGTGTATACATAAGAGAGAAGTACATATATATATATTTAAAATGTTTCAGTACTACCCAAGGTGTCAAGCATCTACTGGGAGTCTTAGAACATTATCCCCCAAGGATAAAGGGTGATTACTTACTACAAAGAACTTCCCTACCTCCTACTTCTAACAGGGAACAGATTTACCCTCTTGGCTCAACAACCAGAAACTCTGCACAAAATATATACATCAAGTTTTCAAGACACTGGACGCCAGTGCGTCTAAATGATAGTGGTCCCCCAAATACGGGAAACAAACAGGAACAGCTCTTCCATTGCCCCAGTTTACTGCCTTTAGAGAGTTTCCATAATTCTAGCACTCTGGGAGGCCGAAGCAGTGGACTGCTTGAGCTCAGGAGTTTGAGACCAGCCTGAGCCAAGAGCAAAACTCCATCTCTAAAAATAGCCGGTGTTGAGGATGATGCCTGTAGTCCCAGCTACCCCGGAGGCTTAGGCAAGAGCATCTCTTGAGCCCAAGAGTTTGACGTGCTGTGAGTTATGACACCATGGTATTCTAGTGAGGGCAACAAAACAAGACTCTGTCTCCAAAAAAAAAAGAA